CGTCTCCGGGTGGTATCCGCCGCGCGAGGGCCACGGTCATGGAGCGAGCGGCGGCGGCGGTGGCATTGGCTATACAACCCAAGACCGACGCCGGCCGATCCTCTCGGTGTCGGCGATGCGGCGTGCACACAATGGCGTCTCCGCCTCAACGTGCCTAGGGATAGCATATGGGCTTCTCCGACTTCCGAGTTCGACTCCATCCGGCGTTGAGCAAGGGCGCAAGGGGCACTCGCGCCGGGACTTCACGTTCCGATTCTTCTGGAGAAACAAGGAGTGACGGGTATGCCTAGTTAGTAGCCATTGGCTCCGCCTTGGTTGAAACACCGCCGCCGCCGGTACCGGGTCCTGGCGAGTACCTCTCAGTACATCGAGGGACTTCGTGATGCATTCGGGCTCATGAACGGCGTCGTCGGAGCTCAACACCAAGGTCTGCACGTCGGCTGGCGGCGGCGGCGCATAGGCGAGCGATGGCATGATCATTTGGACGGTGAGGTGCTCGTCGAGACATGGTGATCGATCGCGTGATGCGGCGAGGTGGTCATCGTGGAAGGTGTTCGACCACTCGCCGTCGTGGGCGTGGACACTGGCGGTTCTTCATTCAAGCACCACCGCTTTGGTGTGGGGTTTCCATTATTTTAAGGCTACCGGCCGACCGGTTTGCATGCCGGTCTCTCCTCGCCTGGCATGCCATGCGTCGTATATTTTACACCACACATGCCGCTTGCCGTGTGTGATGTGTGTGTGTGTGGTGTTTATGCGTGCGTCGCGGTCGCGCGCAATTCATGCAATGGAGCTGCTAATAAACATGAAGTGTCGTCGTCCCGCGCCCTAAGCATTACGCGTACATACGGTCGTGCGTTGCGGGGCACGCGTATGCGTGTATATGCTGCGATGACACGGCTACGCGTAGAGAGGAGCAGCAGACGGAGGAGGAGGCGGGGTTTTTTAGAAGATAGCATGGCCACGCCGTCGAAGCCGCCATCGTGGCACCGCCACTTTGGATGCTATGTGCGGACGTGGCAGGTCTTGGACCATTGGTGTATGGCGACAATAGTTCGAGGGACCTAAATAGTCGTTTTTAGTTTGAGGACCTAGACGGGAAGGCGGTAATAATTTAAGGACCATGGATGCATTTTACTCTATTTGAATCAAATAGAGTCTGAAAAAGTCATGGGTATTTGGCAAAGACCAAAGCTGTTATGTGGTGGAGGATTGAGAGGAGAGAGTTGAGGCAGACTACAGTACCCGCAGGAACTGTTCATGCGAGGGAGAGAGGCAGAGCAATTTGGCTCCAGAGGGCGACAACTTAATTGTTGCTTCTTGCTTGACTATAACTGATACAGGGTTCTCTTTTTATAGAGATATCTGACTTGACCCCTAAGGAAATATCCTAACCGAATCAATCTAACATATCTCTTTCCTAACAAACCAAACCAATCTAATCTAATCTGTTGACGCGCTACAGTACCGCGTGGTCCCTGGGCCGGCTCCACTTGCCATAACACTACTCCGCCCCTCCAAGACAGCTCGTCCTCGAGCTGTGGCAATGATGGTGCAGAAGACCTTGCAGTCTAGAGAAGATCGCCATGGCAGCCCTACTCAAGGAGTCCTATGTTGCACTTGTAATTGAGGCAGAAGACATACGGCTCCACAAAATCAACTCCGTCCCGTGGAATCTGCTTCTGCAATGGTGCACGATCCATACCTTCCTCCTCAAGGTGCCAAACCTGGCTACTCCATCTGAACTGCCCGGAATCTAATCCGCCTGACTTGAATCCATGGAGCGCCTGCACGTGGCGTCGATGGCGCCCTCCACGAGCAGCCACCCCTGCTATGGGTGCAGCAGAGCAGGGCTGCGTTGGAGGCGTACTCCAAGCAGCCGATGGAGCTTTGAAGGCCTGCTGCTGAGACGGCAGGGAATCTGCACATGCAAACAGCCACGGCCCTGCTCGAGGGATCGGTGTTGTGGCTCGTAGAGGCAGCGACAAAGGCACCATGTCCGCCAATGTTTGTGCAGGGTTGATCGCTTGCATGGGTGACGCTGGTGAAGAGACTGCCAAAGTCGTGACAGCCGGGGTCTTCACTGGTGGTGAGCCGTCGTATGTGGCGAACTCCAACTTGTAAAACTTGGGCGGCGGCGGGTCCTGTGCGGCGGCCGATGGTGCCGCACCCGTGCTGTCCAGCGAGGGCGACGCGGCGGAGAGCGTCGGCATGAGGCTGGGTGAGGCGGTGGAGTGCGGCAGGAAGCTGCTGCCATGGAGGAGCGTGCCATCGACACCTCCATAGAGGGTGCCTGCTGCGAACGGCCCACCGTGAGCGACAACAGCGCCCGTCGTCTGCGCCGGCGGTATGGACGCCCGCGGAGTCGTCGTGGAGTAGATTGGCGCGGTGGAACTGAGCGCCCAGGCCGGAATTTGCGACGGCGACGGTGGAAAACGAATCTATTGGATCGGGACATATGTGGACGGCAGCTATACGGAGGTCGGCGGCGAGGGCAATGGCTACTTGTTGGGCATCCGTAGGGTACGAGATGGCGGGTATGATCTGGTGATGATGCGGCGGCGGAGGGAGTGGTGGTGGTTGTGTGGGCAGCGGCGGCGTGATGGTCAGCTGTCCCTGGAGGAGCGCCCGCAGCGTTTCCTGGACTTCCCACATGCAGTGGCTGAGGTCCACGATTGCCGCCGTCGTCTGTTCCGGCGAGAAAACCGGGGCCGGCGCAGCCACCGATCAATGGCGGGCAGCGGAATTACCAATGAGCCGGAAGATTTGGAGGCGCTGTGGTGGAGAGCGGGGCGGTGGTGGAGGCAGCGGGGGACTCCATGATCGGCAAGGTCTCTGATACCAGGTGTTATGTGGCTGGAGGATTGAGAGGGAGAGAGTTGAAGCAGACTCTGATGCCATGAGGGAAGCATTCCTTGAGGGAGAGAGGCGAGGAATGGGCTGGCTCCGGGGAAGACAACAACAACAATTGTTGCTTCTTGCTTGACTATAAGCGTCTGAGGTTCTTTTTTTATAGAGATGACTGACTTGACCCCTAAGGAAATATCATAACCGAATCAATCTAACATATCTCTTTCCTAACAAACCAAACCAATCCAATCTAATCGGTTAACGTGCTACAGTACCTCGTGCAGCCGCCACAATTGTGGTCGTGAACAGTCCCGTGGTACTGTAGCGCGCGGGTACTTAGTCCGCCCGCCGCCGCCTCTCCCTCAGCTCTCTCCCTCTCAATCCTAGCAACCACATAACAGAAACTCTCTGTGTTCTTCCACCATGTCCGTGTTAAGTTTGTGTGTGTCTGGGTCGATCCAGGGATCGTCTTCTCCATCTCCGGCAAGGGTCGCCGACGAGCAGGAGACTACAAGCATGATCTTTACATGAGCATGCCAAAAAAAGGGCGTACCCAGTGCAGAGAGCTCCCGCTCTGTGCAGGGTCTGGGGAAGGGTGTCAGTGGCAAGCCTTACCCTCGCCTGTGCAATGCGAGGAGACCGCGACTCGAACCCGGGACCTTCTGGTCACAGGCGGTAAGACTCTACCGCTTGCACCAGGCCCGCCCTTCTTTACATGAGCATGCCAGATTTTTAAAAAAAAACATGGCATACAAATATAATAGATAACAACTCATTATTATTTAGTGCTCGTTATGGAAGTGCAATAGAAGAGTAAGCAAAATAAGGACAACTATTCCAATACACACCCAGCCACTGCTAGAATTACTCCAGTTGTAACAAGCAAGCAGCCAAGGATCTGATTTGCTCTATATTTCCTTCCCAAGATCAGGACAGATAAGATAAGCTGCCAAACCAGAAAAGACTACACAAAGATGACAAGCATGTTAGACAATTAATAGGAAGATCACATGAAAAGTATATCCATGAAGGTGGATGAATCCAGTGGATCTATTCAAAAAAATAACTACATCCTAGAAAGATTGTATATCACTAGCAAAGGTAGAATGGAAAAATTAAGTTAATTGTAACTTAAATAATTGTTATATAACAGTGATGATTTTTTAATAGATCAGTGAAAAGAATACACAAAAGAGCATGTGGAAACACTTAGCGCACCATCCTAGCTACAAGAACTATCTATGTGTTGATCTAATGTAAGCACTTAGAATGGGAAAAAAACAATCTAAAGAGAAATGCTAAGTAAAATAAAAAAAAAAACAGAAATTGCGAAAGCAGCTTCCATTTGACAAGCATTTACAGGGTTATATGTAAAGTTGTAAGCAATACATGATTCATGCCTCCCACAATCAAAGCATTATGTATGAAGTAATCAGAAGTGAACCAGTGGTACATGTAGACGTATTACCTGTGACAACACTGGAATAGATGGCCCGGGCAACATAGCTGCGAGGACAGACAAATATAGAAACAAATTTCATTCGTTATAGTCTGAAGGAATCATACCACAACTACTGAACCTGCTACAATGCACAAACTTAAACAATGAGTTGTTAGCGGTGACGGAGGAGCAGCATTGATTACCAGCAGCAGCCATGCCTGAAGCAGCACCTAGCGCTTCCAGTAAACCAATTAGCATGAACTGTGACTTTGGAAGTGCTAACATTTCTCTAGTGACAATCCCAGCGCGAAATCTTATGAAGAGAATTGAGAAATACACTAGGACATACCTGCAAATAATATGAAGTGAGTAGTTCAGTGCTAGTAGAAAGCAGTTTGTGCAAAGGAAATACACTAGGACATACCTGCAAATAATATGAAGTGAGTACTTCAGTGCTAGTAGAAAGCAGTTTGTGCAAAGGAAATACACAAGGACTCTACTGATACTGAATTGTATGGAAGCATTGCACTTCATAAGCCCCAGGAACTTAATTTTGACTAGCGAAAACCAGCAACGTACGTCTAATACATTTAATCAATCCAGAAAATTACAATTACACACAGTTCCTATAGTACTCTGTATATAGCACAAAAAATGCTCAATTAAACGACAGACGTTGAGGTTTCATTGAAAGTATCAACTATCAAGATTACCCAAATGTGGCGAACTGGGCGAGGAAGAAGGGGTAATTCTTCATTGGCACGAGCGCCAGCTTGTAGAGCACCCGGTTCATCACAGCAAAGACCACAGTGGCGGCCGCTGCCGCCGCGATCCCCGTACCACCAGCACCGCCACCACCGTCTCCGGAGATCGCAGAAACCCTAACTGTACTAACCGCTCGCGCTCTCTTCGAGCCCAGCGTCCCGACGAACCGCCTCCCGCCATCGCCACGGGCCGCGGCGAGCCCCAGGTGAAGCGGAGGCGGAGACGGGAGCTGTAGAGCGGCACGGAGTAGCTTCGGGCACCGCCATGGCGCTCCATTGCGGAGGAGGGGCGGCGGCGGGGAGGGTAGGGATAGTGGCGAGAGGAGGTGCTGGACGGGCATGGCGCAGTGGCGATGGCGTCGAAGATTTCGGGGGTTGACCGATCGGTTCGGTTTTTGGTTCTTCGCCTAACTCAGTTATATATATATATATATATATATATATATATATATATATATATATTAATTACGAAACTAATCGTATAGTTTACGACTAATTTGCGAGACGAATCTTTTAAATCTAATTAGTCCATAATTTGACAATGTTTTGCTACAATAAACATGTGCTAATGACGGATTAATTAGGCTTAAAAATTTGTCTCGTGGAGTACTGACGGATTATGTAATTTGTTTTTTTATTAATATCCAAATATCACATGCAACATTCTCCCGACATACCACCTAAATTTTAGTCATTGGATCCAAACACCCTCTAAGAAGAGACCGATCGGTTACTTTGAAAATATGAAATCCAGCAATTTCGGTTTTGAGTAATTCGGTTCAGATTCGGTTCTAACCGATGGAACCGAATTTTGCAGGAACCAAGAAACAACTCATTCAATTACAAATTTCGGCAGCATTTTGTCTGATTTTCATGCAGTCAAAAAGGGATAATTTAAACAGCAATGCGGCATAAAACAACAGTACAACACATATATGTTATTTGTTCTCTCAAATATTCAAGCATAGAGCAATATTCAAGCCTGCATTTTAGAGGCTTTTACATAGTTTGGTTATTTTAGATCAATTCGGTAAACCGAGTGCTGGAACCGAATTAACCGTAATAATTTCGATTCCTGAAAACTTGGAACCGAACTTGAGACTGAATATTTCGGTTTCGCTTACTTCGGTTTCGGTTTCGAATCCGGTTAGTTCGGTTCGGTTTTCGGTTTTTTTTTATCAAATTAAGATGCACACGGGTCCTTTTACACCTTGGATGCACAGATTTTTTTTCGGACTACTGTGCCAATTGCTCGTTGAGTATCTGACTGGTGGGGACCAGGATAGTCGAACCCAACTGACGGCGCGTGCCTCCGACTGACCTCCACGCCTGTGTCCTCGTCCGATTTTTTTATTTGTTAGCTTTTTTTTTTGAATTTTTTTTACAAATATGTCCTTAGGTAAGATTTTAAAAAGTAGACCTTTAGCTCGGCGTCATCGTTGCTGGCGTTGAGTTTACACTGCTCGGCGCTATCGTTGCTGACGCCGAGCTCTTGGGCTCGACGCTGACGTGGCGGTGATTTGGCAGGTAGCTCGACGCCGTAGATCTTGGCGCTGAGCTCGGCGCCATGGTTACTGGCGCCAAGTCTGTCTTACATATGGGTCATAATCCTTTCTCTCTTCCTCTTCCTCTTCCTCTCTCTCTCGCACCGCCAGTGCCCAACCGAGCAGAGCACCGTCGCCGTCGCCCACGCCCTCTCCCACCCCTGATCGCCCGCGCATGCGCGCCCTCATCCTCGGTCGCGCCTGGCCACCCGCGCGCCACGCCGCTGTGTCTGGATGTCTCGATTGAAACACGTTGTCGGGTACCTTAGAACGGGGTACCCCAAGCAAACATCAAAATAAAGCTACAAGGTAAGCCGTGGGCCCCTCACCGGCCATGACCGAGCCTTCCTCCACCTCGCCTCGAGCCTCGAGCAGGAGGTATCGGAACAAACTCCGCCTCGCGCGAGGCTCCCCAGGGTAGGCCTCGGCAGGGGGCGTCGAGCCTCGGCAGGGGGCGCCGTCTCCGTCTTGCCCGAGGCTCTCCAGTGAAGGCCTCGGTAGGGGTACATTCTCCGTATCGCGCGAGGCGTCTCGCGCAAGGCCTCGGCAAGGAACCTGATCTCCGTCTCGCGAGGCCTCATTCTCCGTGTCGCTCGAGGCCGGGTCGCGCACTGACCCGTCACCCCCGCCTCGACCGACCCTCCGGACAACGATGTCATGTCCCATTAATGCTTCAACCACTCCTGCAATCTCGGCCGGACGACGGCTCAAGCGCCTGAGAATGGCCGGCGACCCCAAAGGTCGTCGCATCAGTATCCATACCTAATTTTGGGACAGTCTGGCGGGGATTACCGCCCTTGTGTCCTAACATCTTGTATCCACGATCTCGCCATACCAATTTGGGGCGAGTGCTGGCGGGAATTACCGACCACTTTGTGTCCTAACTGCTTGTACCCACGATCGGCCGCCCACTCGAGGCCTCGGCAGCGTACACCAAGGTCTCGGCCATCTTAGGGATCGTGCTGCCGAGACCCCTCCACCATGGTGCGGCCTCGACACCGACCAAGTCTTGGCCTTGCGCTGCTTGATCCGTCCACAGTGGCTTGCCGCCCCCCGCGCGCGCGCGCCCACTCGAGGCGATCCGGGGCTCCCACGGCGCACAAGATCGATGGGGCGGCCACGTCGCCCAGTGCTCAGGGACGGACCACTCCGGCGGCCACACCGCCACGAGGAGCAGGCTACTGAGGCCGAACACGCCGCCTCTGTTCACACGGCGCCCGTATAGTCGGCTCATGTACCGCCCTAGTCCTCCCTTCATGCTATAAAAGGAGAGGACCTGGGTTGTTTTAAGGGGGGGACACCTTATACACACACACACACACACACACACTCCTGCCGCCAGAGAGCAACGTCTCAAGCGGCCCGCACGGCACCCTGCCGAGACCTAGGACTAGCTCCTTCTCTCCTTTAGCTTGTAACCCCCTACTACGAGCACCTCGGTGCAAGGAATACAAGATCGATCTCTCGGGTGGGCGTAGGGCCTCGATTGCTGAACAGTATAAACCTTGTGTCTCTTTGCATCACCATCCGGATCGGGAGCACGTAGAACAAATTCCTTTGGTTGGTTGAGGACCCCGGTCCGAAACACCAACGATTAATGGCGCGCCGGTAGGGGCCCCTTTGCGTGTCGGTTTCATCATCCCAGCCGAGTTCGGATGGCGGACCCGTCACGACCATTGCGTCTCGGCATTGTGGTTTGGTTGGGAGCCTAGAGTTCATGTCTCTAGGGCATGAGTACGACATGGTGCTCCTCACTCCTCGAGCCCCACCAACCAACGATGAAATTCGCCCGGCGGCCAGTGAGGCGGTGTCCGGCGGCCGCTCTCGCGCGCGCTTCGCCAAGCCGCAGCGCGAACAAAGGCCACCCCCGGCGCTTACGTGAATCCGGGCGACACGCCACCCCGCCGATATCTACGACCCGGTTGTTGCTTGGGGTCCTGGTGGGGACACATCTAGCTGAGCTTGGACAAAGGAGACTTGCCTATGGCGCAGGCGATGCTGTCGTCGTCAGCTCCGCTCCATCACTCCCTAAAGAGCCGGCCCGGTGAGCGAGAATCTGGAGGCAGCACCGTCCTCATACCCCTTTGGGTTGAGAAATGCCGCCGCCTCTTATGCCTACGCTTACTTGCCGCTCCACGAGCACCCCTCGGAACACCGCTGTGTTGCCGCTCTTGGCACGAGCACCCTCCGACTCCTCGGACGAGGGCGAGGCATGGCAGGGGTGGATTTCTCGAACTCCACAACCACAGGGCTTTGCGCCAATTCTTGGCGCGGCGACTCTGCCCGGCTACTCCAGGCTCCGGCAGCGAAGGCACCTCGACCCCACTCGCGAATGTTTTCATGTCGGGCTCGGGATGCCGAGGCGGCGAAGAAGGGCGACAGGCGGTAGCCATTCCCGCTCCGCCCGGCGTGGCGTCACTACACCTCCGCGCCGTCCTGCGGCGCGCCTGAAATGAAACGTCGCTCTTGCGCGACCTCGGCACCAGACTTAGAGAACAGCTCCGTGAGCTCCGGGCCAAGGTCGAGCAAGACCAACTCCTTCTGCAGCGGCTTGAGACTCTCTTGAGCAGAGCAATGAGGTCGGTGGCGGCGGCGGGGAGCCCGATGGAGGCCCTCGGCGTGCGTCACCGCATCCATAACGGCGAAGAGTGAGCAACCCCGATCTTCAATCGCGCTAGCGAAGCGTCACGGCTGCGGCGATCTTTGGTTCGCGCAATGCGAGCCTTCTACCGCGGAGGGGCGGCGGGTCCATGGCGAGCTCGAGATCTCCTAGAGACCGCGCGGTTCTGACAAGCGAGAGTTACGCCTCCCGGCGGCGCAGGCGTCTCGAACCTGCCCGCGGCACCACCTCGTCGAGATAGGGAAGCCTCGGCTCGTCCGAACCTGCTCGAGCATCGATAGCTCACTGAGGTCCCCGTGCTCCTTGAGCCGCCTCGACAATCGACACGAGGCGGGGAGACCACGAGGTGGTCGGCCGGCAGCGAGCGCCACGACGGTGAGGGGGCCGCTCGAGGCTACCATGTGCACCGAGGTAGCCGCTCTGACGCCGAGGAAGACCGCGGCCCTTCTCACGAGCCACGGCCCTCGAGTCTTCAAGAGAGCTATCCGTGTCGCCCGGTTCCGGCCCGTTTTTTCGGCAACCACCAACCTCGCGAAATACGGTGGTGAGACCAACCCGAACTACGGCTTGCCCGACTACGCTGGCTTTGCCAAATGATTAGGTGGCGTAGATGATGACTGCTCATCATCCGTAACCTCCCTTGCTCTTGTCGGACTTCGGCGCGAGCTGGCTCCGACACCTCCCTCCCTCACAGATCCACGGTGGCGTGACTTGGTTAGGGTCTTCGTTGGGAATTTTCGGGGCATGTACGTCGTCTCGGAAACTCACAGGACCTTAAATTGCCGCCGAAACCAAAGTGAGTCTCTTGAGATTTCATCCGGCGCTTCTCAAGCGATTGCACCGAAGCTGCCCGGTCGTCGACGACTCGGAGATCGTCGGCTTTCCTCTCGGCACCACTGCCGGGACTGAGTCTTGGGAGCTAGGTCGGAACGTGCCACGCACGCCATTGCTGCGCTCCTCGACATCGCCACCAACCGCCTCGGGCGAGGAGGCCGTCGGTGCCATCTTCCCGGCAGCGACGCCAAGGGAAAGCGGAGGGCGAGGCCCCGGCGCCTCGGCCTCCCACCTCCCTAAGAGAAAGAAAAAGGCGCCTAGGGAAGCGAGGAGGCCATGGAGGCTGATCTGGTCGGGGCCGTGAGAACGCAAGAATCCCGAGGCCCCAAAGGCCCTAGGCCTT